CCCCCCCCCCCATGTGAACCCCCTTGATGTAACCCCAAAGCTGGCAGCATCCCCCAAGCCTGGCTTTGTACCCCTCCCTCTCAGGCCATAGAGCATCCCCAAAATCCCTCCTGCCCTGAGCATCTCTGCTTCCCCCAGTGCACAGCAGGGGGGGCAAAAGCAAAGGGGTGGGGGGATGTTTGTCTTAAATCTGAATGGGGGGGGGGGAGGGGAAGGAACAAAGTTGTGGGGCTGGTGGGGAGAGTGAGGCTGCAGGAGGGGATGGGGGACAGGTGGGTTTTGGGGCACACTGTGGTGTTTTGGGTGCTCTCTACATCTTCTTGTGTTCTTGAGGAAGTGGCTTCGGTCAGAAGCTGTTGGGGTTGCAGCTGGGGATGTCAGGGGGTCACAGTGTCTGCATGTGTGTGAAGTGAGTCCCAAAGTGCCAGCCAGTTTTGTTGGTTTTTTTACCCAGAGGAGGATTTTATTTCAGGTTTAAAGTTGGCTTTGCTAAGGAAATTCAGGTCTGGAAAGCAGCGTTCACGTCTGCTCTGTGTTTGCAGGGAAGGAAAAGGAAAGTGAAACCTGCTGAGGTTTGTACCTATGGGGAACATCTGGGCAGATGTTCTGACACAGGCTGCTCGTCTTCCAGGGCTCAAGCTGTAAGATGCACATTGAAATGACAGAGATTTGGTGGCCAAAACGGATTTGTTGACCTAATGATTGGGTTGGAGGAGATCATAGCCCTGTTTCGCTTTGTTAGCTGAGCAGCTCAGGGCTTTTATGGGGCTGAAATGCAAGTGAGCACCTGGAGGAAGAAGCACAGGGTGAAGTGAAACTTTGTGATGAGCAATGCCAGCTCTGCCCTGTGCTTCTCAGTGTGTGTGGTGCTGTCAGGTTGGCTGTGATGCACACAGTTGTTCTACGTTTCCTATTCAGTTCTCTCAGCTTCTTCACCCTCTTCTTCTTCCAAAAAAAGCTTTAATTCCAGCTGGAATTGGAGTTAAGCTGAGCGAATCCAACGTGCTTGTCTTGCTTTACTCTCGGTGGTGCAAGGAAAGCTGGAGTTTTGTAGGACCTAAGCAATGCACAGGGAAATAAATCATGTTTTCCACTGCACATCTTTGTGTTCACAGGGGGATTTCTGGAGGAAAAGGAAGCTGGTGAGGAAGCAGAGAGAGAAAGCATCCTATGCTGGTGGTGCTGGAGTCACTTAGGTTGTTATCTGCAGGGAGGAGGAGGTTTGTGTGCTGATTAGTTACCAGGTAATTCAAGCTGGTTAAGGTGACAGGGGTGTCAAGGTAAGGAAAAAAATGAAATGTGAAATGTCCATAGGGAGGATCTCAGTGGGATCTCAAAGCCTGAGAAACGCATTAAGGAAAGTCAGGAAGGCTTTCAGTGCGTTCTGCTGTTATGACAAAGCTGTTTCAGGAGGTTCCTTTCCCCTTCGCATTCTTGGCTGCTTTTTTCCTGCCCTTCTGCTTCACGTTTTGCCTCCTGGTGTTTCAGGAGGTGGAATCCTCCCCAGATGATTGCAGTGAGATTTCAGCTTTACATTCCTGCTCCTTGTTCTCGTGCAGCATTCTGTCTCAAGGCAGGGGCCAGGAAAGAATGGGAGCAAGCAGGCATGCATGCAGAGAACCTTTGCAACCTGTGCTGCTGCCAGGCAAACGCTGAAATCCAGCTGTGCCCTCAGCTCCGTGCTCACCATCACAGCACAGCAGAGGAGCAAACTTGACAAAAAGGAAGGGCTGTGTTTTATTATTATTATTATTTTTTCCATTTGAAAATTGAGGTGTGCAGGAGGAAGTGCATGTTGTGGTTATTAGGTGAGCATGGAGTCCACGCTTCTGGTATAGTTTTTAATCATCATGCATTGACTGGATGTGTTTCTGCTGGCAGGGGGTGGCAGGAAAGGAAGGTGATGAGCTGCTGGAACTTCCTGCAGCGTGGACACAGCAGAGATCATTGCAGGCATTGCTTGGTGCCCTTCGTGCTGTGCAGGGGAGGGCAGGTGGGATGGCAGCTTCTCCCCCATCTGTGGGGCACAGTTTTGAGCCCTTTTCTGTTGTTGCTCAGATCTGAGCACCCTCCCATTATGTATATATGGGGTGGGGGGAAGAAGATGGTTCATCCTGTCGTGATTGGCAGCTTTGCAGAAGTTCCTAATTGCTGTAGTTGCCATTAAGGTGAGGCTTTGCCTGCTAACCTTTTCCATGACTCTGCTTGGATGCGTTCCTCTGGTTTTAACTGTCTTCCAGGTTCTGCCATTGACTCTTGTGTGCTCGTTTTGTCTTTCTGTGTGCTCGTTTTCTCTTTCTGTGTGCTCATTTTCTCTTCCTGTGTGCTTGCAGGCTGCAGGCTCCACCTTACTGAAAGTTTTCCTGACATGCTGTTGATTCACTGGGGGTTTATTCTTTTCTGGGATGTCTCTGCACGCTTCCCTTCTTCCTTACAGCCTTCTCCTCTGCTTTAATCTTTATATTTAAGTTCAATTACCTCTCACTATGAAACCAGCAGCACGCAATTGAAGATGCTGAGCAGCCACCTTTCCAGTCTTTCTGGTTGCCTTTTGTAATAACAACAACCCCCCCACCCCCCTCCACGCACAGCACCCAGTAACATCAGCTCCCTGATCTTCAACAGAGCCATCTCAGGATCTGCAGAGTGGTTCCTGAGTTCATGCTGGCCGTCTCATTGCTCTGCTCTTCCATTCTGAGCCACTCGAGGAGACGTTATGGGGCTGTTTCCAAGCTGCTCAGTTATTTCTGGCCAAAAGGAGAGCTTGTGCTTTGAGAACGCAGTGTGGAGCAGATGCAGAGGAGCTGAAACGTGCTTTTTCAGATGCTCAGAATCTTGAAGATAACTGATAAGAGGCAGGAGGAGGTTTGTGCCTGCACACGGAGGTGGTGATGCTCTCACAGCTCACCTCACCTGCATTTTTCAGGTAAAGGAAGGCAGATTGGCTTGTTCCCAGCCCAGGGTGAGAGCATCGTGCACAGAAAGCATTGCAGTTGTGGAACAGAGCGTGGCCAGGTGGTGGAATTCATACACAGAGTGCTGCACGTTGTTGAGTTCTGCCTGCTGTTCCTTTGTCTGAAATGGAGGACGGGACGCTGGGGGGAGCCCAGGGTTGTGCTGAGTGCTGAGGGGGGAGCTGGATCCCTTCAGGTGCTGCTGAAAGGCTGGAAAACGTGATGTTGGTTTTGTCTGAAATGCCCCTTTTTCACCCCGTGCTGCTCTGTCTGCTTTCCTCCAAACAGAAATAAATCCTGTGCCCATGGGGAGGGTTGAAAGCCAGTTGGCACTCAGTTACTCCATAGACTCCTCTCCTTTGAGAGCTGCTTGCTTAAAATATTTCACTGTTGATCCTCAGCTATTTTGGCAGAAGAGCCGGGCAGGGAAAACCCATTTTTAACCTCTGACGTTGCACTCGCTTGGCTGGGACCCCAGGAAGAAACGTTTCACCCTTTCAGGGAAGCAACCAGAGAAGGCAAAGCTTTCCTAGCACGGAAAGGACAGAAGGAGAAGCACGGGCTCCTTTTGGGCTGGGCGCTGCTCAGACTGAGTGCACAGAGGAGGTTTGTGCAGATGCAAAGCGACTGAGGGCTGTGTGAGCACTGCAGGCGTTGCTCACCATAGGCTTCATGTTTTCCAGGACCATTCGGGCACTCTTTAATGCGTGCTTTGTTTTTGCTTTGCTTTGCTTGTTATTTTTTCCTCGTCGTTTGCCGTCAGCTGCTGCCTCCCAGCGCGCGTTTCGAGCCCCAGGAAGAGGAAAGCTGGCTGCAGAGCAGCTCCCCTGTGTATGCACATGCTTCTCCTTGGCCTCACGCCGTTGTTGTTTTGTCCCTGGGATCCACACCACCCATCCATGCTGTACACGGCGTCCTGGCAGGCTGCAGAGCTCAGGGAAGCAGCTGCACTGCTTGCCTCACCAGGAGCAGTGGGGAAGCCTCGTTATAGAATCACAGAATGGCTTGGCTTGGAAGGGACTTCAAGGATCACGAAGCTCCAACCCCCTGCCACATGCAGGGCCACCAACCTCCACATTTCATACCAGCCCAGGCTGCCCAGGGCCCCATCCAACCTGGCCTTGAACACCTCCAGAAATGGATGGGGCATCACAGCCTCTCTGGGCAGCTGTTCCAGCACCTCACCACTCTCACAGCAAAGAACTTCCCCCTGATATCCAACTTCAATCTTCCTCCTTCAACTCCAAACCATTTCCTTGTCCTGCTGTCATCTCCCCTTCCCAAGAGCTGACTCCCCTCCTGTCTGCAGGCTCCCTTGAGGTGCTGAAGGCTGCAATGATTCACCCCACAGCTTCTTTTCTGCAGGCTGAACAAGCCCAGCTCCCTCAGCCTGTCCTCATAGGGAGGTGCTGCAGCCCCCTGCTCATCTTCGTGGCTCCTCTGGCCCCTCTCCAGCAGCTCCCTGCCTTTCTTGTCCTTGTGCTGCAGATGGTGCCTCATAAGGGCAGAGTAAAGGGGGACAATCACCTCCCTGTCCCCTTCTTGGGCTCTTCTGATGGATCCCATTTGTTTTCCAAGCTGTAATCACACACTGCTGGCTCACGGTCAGCTTTTCACCCACCAGGACCCCCAGGTCCTTCTCTGCAGGGCTGCTCCTCTCGTTCTGTATATATGCTGTCAGCACTGTCCTGTGCCAGGCTGCAAGCTGGGGTCGGTCCAGCTGTGAATTTGCCTTTTTACAGCTCCTTTAAACTCCTTCCAAATGCACCCTAGGTGCACTCCTGGATTTAAAATACGAATTAAAAGCGCTGTCAAAACTCCTGCTAACCAGCATTAAAGAAAACAACCCCCCATCCCCGTTGCTTCAGATGTCCCAGTGGTTGTTGGACCGTTTCCTTTTCCTGGAGCTTTGTGTGCTTTTGTGCAATGAGTTTCTCATTGTATTGCACTTCATTTTTTGCTCCAGGTCGGAAATCCCTCGATTGTGTTTTTATTCAGCAGCTCTCATTGCAGACACAGAACGTGGGGCGAATCCACCAACGTTGCTCTAAAAGGCTGTGGAGCTTCTGATGTTATTTCCAGCAGGTGCTGCAATGGGAGACGATGAGCTGCACTGCTTCTCCACTGCTGCAGGTGCTGCTTTTCCCTCTGCATGAAGGGAAAAGAGATCCAGAGGTGCAGGTCTGGAGGAGGAGCAGATTTTGGGGTGAGGTGAACAAGAGAAGCTGAACGCCCTGCAAGTTGCTTCGAATGACCAAACTTTTCTTTCCCATTCCAGCAAAAAAAATGCATCCAAAAAGGCACTTTTTGAAGTGGCACAGCTGAAGGAGTGAGCTGTAATGCTGCAGTTTGGGTTAAACATGCAGGTTTTTTTGCTCTGGGGTTTTTCCAAAGCAAAGCTTTGCTCTGTTTCCTCCTGCCTGCCTCTCCTTGTGCCGGTGCGGATGCTGATTCAAACAGCTCTGAGTGTTCATTTAACTGCTTGGAACACTTTTCTGCCTGTTTAGAGAAGAAAACAAGCTGGGAAGGAGGGGGGAGAAAAGACACCTCGTGCTCTGCCAGCTCCATTGCTTCACTGAAGGATCTGAGAGCCCTTGGAGGACAGGGGACAGGCGGGCATCACATGGCTGGAGCTGGCTGAGTCTCCTTCCCCTCTGTTTCATGTGGTTAGGTGCTTTCTGCTGGCTGAGCTCTGGGTGAAAGGATTCCCTGTGCTGAAGGGCCTCGTGACCCAGCTCTGCACCCCTGTGATGCCTGTCAGCAGGCTTTTCTTCTTTGGGAAATGCTTGGTGTGGGGTTGGGGATTAGCTGAGCTTCCTTCCCAGTTCTGCATCAGGCTGGGCTCAGGTCTGCTGACAGCTCACGTGCTGCTTCTTCTTGCTGCATTGACTCAGCAGTTCAGCTCAATTCTGCTGACTCATCTGAAAGCCTGCAGGGGAGCTGCATGTTTTGCCAACTGCAAAGCCAGAGCTCCCCTCTCATCAGCAGCTTCAAGGCGCTGCGAAGCTGAGGGATACCAGGAGGAGCTGAAGCTTTTGCATTTGCTGTTATGGGTTTTATCTTTTGCAGGCTGGCTTTTATCTCCCCGAGCCACCTGCCTGCACTTTGAGTTTCCTATTGCTCTCTGCAGAGGGCATTTTAACCCATTGCAAGACCCCAAAAAGATAAAAACCACCTCCAGGTTTCCCAGCTCAGAGCTGCCTTCGTGCAGGTTCAGCTTCGTTTGAGATCAGAAAGGCTGCAAGTGAGGAGCTGCAAAGCAAAGCCAGCAAAGTGCTGCTGCTGCTGGCAACGGTGCTCAGCTGCCATCCTCCCCGCTGTTGTTTTGCTCTGTGCCACAATGCAGACTTTGAAGCCTGGAGAAGCCCTGCGTGTCCAGTGAGTGATGAGCAGGAGGTTCTGCAGGCTGGGATTGGAGCAGTGCTGCTGTCCTGGTTGTTTGTCCTTCCTCTGCTGTTCCTGAGCACAGTGGAAATGAAGGAGAGCTAGAAAGCAGCAGTGAGGTTGGTTTGGGTGGCCAAATGCAGGCACTCCATGCTGGAGGTGCTCCTTGTTGATGCTGTGGCTCCGAGGCAGCGATGTGAGATTTGCTGTGACTTCAGCAGAGGGGAAGCTGCTCCAAATGCTGTGCATTCCTCACTGGGTTGTGCTGGGGAGCAGCAAACAGCCCAGATCTGAGGGCTGGAGGGGCTGGAAGCGTCGTCTTTCTTCCAGGCTGAGTGCTTGCTCTCGTTTTTCTTTCGAATTTGGGTGAAAAGGTGGCAATTTTTAGAAAAAGATAAAGGAGGGATGTGTTGTCTTTCTGTCAGCTGTGATGCTTTGGGGCCTTTTTATCCCCTATTTCTTCCCTTTTGACAGTGAAACGTGGTGATGGAAAGGAACACCCAAGCCCAGGAAGTGCCTTTTGCTTCTCTTTGACTGATCTTTTCATCAATAAATAAACAAGAACTCAGTGCTCAGATATTACTCTGGTTGTGTAACCCAGACCCAGAAGTGCCGAGCTGGATTTATTCCACTTTAAACACTGCATGAGAGTGCTTTGCTCCAAGTGGGAGCCGTGTGCACACTGATATCAGCTGGGAGCTGCAACCTGCACCCCTTCACTTCCAAAAATCCCATCAGAAACATCCCAGCCTTTTGAAAATAGGCCCAATTTAACATCAGTGTTGTAGGCTTGGGTTTCTTTTTCCTAGGTGTGAAAGAATTGGGTCGTCATTGAAAGCAGCTGCTGTCTGTCAGAGCACTTAAGGATGGCTTGGAAAAGCAGAGATTCCTGCTCAGCTGTCTGAAAGCACAGATAATGATGGAGTGAGCAGTGAGGCTGCGTGGTGGTTGGCTGCACCCTGACTTTAATTTGCCCATTCCATGTGTTTGCTCGCATCTACGCAGTCCTGATCCTCACCTCGTGGTGATTCAGTGCCTGGGAGGTGTTTGTTCTGCAAACAAAGGGCTGTGCAGCAGCTGATGGAGCAGACTGATGGCACGGGTGTCACTGGTGCCAGCAGGAGGGCTGTTTGATGGGGCTGGGGGACAGAAATCAGCCACGCTGCTCAACCCCCCCCACCTCAAAGTCTCCTTCCTGCGTGGCTCCTGGAGCACAGTAGCAATGGGAGATGTTATCTCTGGGTCACTGGAAGCGTTTGGAGGGGGATCTGTGTGAGGTGGAGGTGGTTCCTGCTGTGTTTGTTCGTGGCCTTGGTGCTGCAGTGCTGCGTGCTCTACTGACTGCCCTTGCTGTCTGATCAAGCAGGTGTTCTGGCGCTCTGGGCCCTAATCACGCATGTGATGTATGTGCAGGATTACTGGAGGACCTGGTTAAAAGGGCTGAGGTTCTTCCTCTTCATCGGGATCCTCTTCTCAGCTCTTTCCGTGGTGGGATTCTGCACATTCCTCGTCCTGGCCATCACTCAGCATCAGTGTGAGTATTTGGATATTGCAGAAAGCAGCGGGTTGGAGCTGCCAGCAGTGCTGAGTTTGGGTCTGGAGGAGCAGAGCCTGGGAGGTGTTCATAGAATCACAGAACAGCCTGGGTTGCAAAGGAACACAGTTCTCATCCAGCTCCAACCCCCTGCTGTGTGCAGGTCACCAACCAGCAGCTGCCCAGAGCCACATCCAGCCTGGCTTTGAATGCCTGCAGGGATGGGGCATCCACAACCTCCTTGGGCAACCTGTTGGAGGCTTCTATGGGTGTGTGTGGGGGAGCTGCTGCAGGAATGCCATTGCATTTCAGTTTCCTGCTGCCCTCTGAGAGCATGAAAGCAGTTCTGTTCTCTGCTGGGTCCCACTCAGATGGGGCAGTGCCCATCTTCCTGTATTCCACATCTGCGTTGTCAGACCTCATCCTGCAGCCTACACCTTCCAGTTTGGTCTCCTATAGAAACCAGAATGTATTTAACACGTATGACAAATAAGAGGAGTGCTTTTAAACACTGCTTTTTCAGCACTCCTGAAGCAGGTGGGTGAGGGTTTGGAAACCTCACTGCCTATCAGCAGGGTGAAAAATGCCTTCTGAGCTGAGTCAGCACATGAAGCTTCCTGCTGTGAATATAAAGCTGCCATAAGAGAGCTCGTGTAGTGACTCCCAGTGTCTGCAGGGCAACAGATGAAAGGCAGAAAGCCTGGGTGGGTTTTTGGGGGCTTTTGTTTGGGGTTGGGGTGGATTCAGACTGCGTGAGGGATAAAGAGGGTTTTGAAATATATCCCTTTTTCTCTCCTAGCCCTGACTGATCCCAGAAGCTACTACCTGTCGTGTGTCTGGAGCTTCATCTCCTTGAAATGGGCTTTTCTGCTCAGCCTCTACGCCTACCGGTACAGGAATGAGTTTGCAGACATCAGTATCCTCAGTGACTTCTGACGCTGGGACTTTGCTCCTGTCTGAAGGTGCTGGATGTCTGAGCTGCCCCCCAGTGGTACGTGCGAGAAGCATACAGGAGGCAGAGGAGGAAGCCACCCAGTGCTGCTTGGTTTGTCTGTCTGCAGTAGGGGGTTTTTCCTAATTGCTTTTACTCAACCATTTAAAGTTTGGCTAACGCTGTCAATCTGTTCCTTCTGTCACTTTCCTGCGTCTGGCAGTGAGCTGAAAGGCTCCATCTGCTCACAGACAGCAGGCCTGCATCCAAGCCCTCATTGCCCTGAGGTCCCTGGGGTTCACGTGGCTCAGCAGCCCCCAGGGTGGGGGGCTGTGGGTTGATGCCTTGAGGATGCAGCCCCCGAGGGAGGGGGGCTTCAGCAGCAAAGAACCCCAAGCTCCTTCTTGCACTGCTCTGCCCCATGGAGAAAAAGGGAAGGGAGCCCTTGGGTGCCCCCAGCACCTCCACATCTTCCAGGATTTTCTGCAGCTGAGATCAAGGAGCACCTTTGGGTCAGCGTGCACAGCAGAGCAGCAGGCAGCTCTGCAATGAGGCCGGCTGGGAGTCACTAAAACCAGACATCACTAAAGCCAGACGAAGTCCACGTGTGTGGAACACACTTAGGAGCTTTAACACTCAGGCTTTTAAATACTAAACCCTCCCTTCCTGCTGGTTTGGGGCTGCCAGCACTGGCAGGGGGTGCAGTGGTGATCCCTGCCCACAGCTGTGCCCACTGTGAAGTCTGCAAGTGCTTTTATAAAGGCTGTCTCCTAACCCATCTCACACCTTTCTCCAACGCAGCACTGCCCATGGGTTTGCTGCCTGGGTGCTGATCCCAGCTCTGGAAACTGCAGGTGGTCCCTTCCCATCACTGAGTGAAATCACAGCGGGGGCACGTATCCAAAACTCCCATCATTTTTTCCCAACCCCCCCCCCGAGGGTTTTAAACTTTATTTTTGTGATGGTAAATTAGCCCACAGACAGCTCACTGAACCTAACCCCTGTTTTCTCTCTGACATCTTTTAGCTCTGGACTTTATACCCGTGTCTCAGCTTTTTAAAAGATGGTGTATGTAAATATATAATATATTTTTACATTGTTTGTGCTTCGGTTGCACGCTTGGTGTAGGACCTGGCCCTGCAGCAGGATGCTAATTCACAGCAGAGCTCATCTGTGTGTATCCCAGCATCTCCTTGTACTAAACCACACTGTAACTCGTATGTGATGCCACAATAAGAGCAGAAATACAGCCTCTTTCTCACCAAACCTGTAGTCACTGCTTCACAAAGTTATTAAAATCCTGTCTCCTTCCTTTGGTGCCAGAGTGAAAGGAGCTTTGCTATGGGGGTTGGTTGGATGACGCAGTGCTTTGGGGGTGATGTGGGGCTGCAGCAATTCTCTTTGGGGGAGGGAGGATTCATCTTCCTGTGATAAATGACCTCACTGTTGTCCTGTGCAGAGATGCTGAGTGTTTTTCCTCTCTGGGACTCCCAGATTTGGGTTTTGCTGTCGGATGGCCCTGGCTTCCTTCAGCCCTCTTGCAGTTCTCAGAAGGTTTGGGGTTAAACCAGTGAGAAACCAGAGCCTCTGGAGACCCTTTGAGGGATTTCAGGGCTATTTGGCTGCTCAGTGCCAATCTAGGAAGGGAGGGCAGGGCTGGGTATGGTCTGAGAAGCCCCCCAGGATAGCGAGGAGTGGAGAATTCCTGCAGCCACAGTGGAGATTCCCAAACCTCTCTCTACCTCTGGGTGCAGCAGGTTTCCTTCTGGGCTTCTCCTTCTGCTGTTGTTGCACTGGATAAGGAGGGGAAGATGGGAGGAGAAGGGGAGAGGATGGGGAAAGGGAGGGGAGGGGAAGGGGAGGAGAAAGGGTAAGGGAGAGGGGGAAAGGAAAGGGGAAAGGGAGGGGAAGGGGAAGGGAAAGGGAAAGGGAAAGGGAAAGGGAAAGGGAAAGGGAAAAGGGAGGGAAAGGGAAAGGGGAGAGAATGGGAAAGGGGGGAGAAAGAAAGAGAAAGGGAAAGGGGAGGGAAAGAGGAAAGGGAGGGGAAGGAAGGGAAACAAAAGGGAAGGGGAAAGGGAAAGGGGAGGGAAGGGGAGGGAAGGGAAGGGAAGGGAAGGGAAGGAGAAAGGAAGGAGAAAGGAAGGAGAAAGGAAGGAGAAAGGAAGGAGAAAGGAAAGGGAAGGAAAGGGAAGGAAAGGGAAGGGAAAGGAAAGGAAAGGAAAGGGAAAAGGAAGAGGGAAAAGGAAGAGGGAAAGGGGAGGGAAAGAGGAAGGGGAGGGAAGGGAAACGAAAGGGAGAGAGAAGGGGAGGGGAGGGAAAAGGAAGGAATGGGGAAGGGAAGGGGAAGGAGAAAGGGAAGGGGAAGAAATCCATCGATTCTAATGGAGCGGGGGGGGGTCGGCACCCATGGGTGCAGGGTGGGCTGTGGCCGGCGGGGGGCAGCAGCGAGCTGCCATGGGGTGAGCGGCGCAGGAGGGAGGGACAGAGCTGGGTGCCCCCCTCCTCCTCTTCCTCCCCCCCCAGCAGCAGCGGGGTCCTTCAGCATCAGCACGTCCCAGCCAAGCCCACCCTGGGGGCTGCACTGAGCCGTCTCCCACCCTCCTGCAAGCTGAAGGCTGCAAAAGTCCTCGTTTCATAGGCAGGGGTCTGATGGGGAGGTGGGATGCACCGGGGGGGGGGGAAGGGGAGGGGGGGGTGTTTTAATGGATGTGAGTGGATCTGGGAGCTGCTGTGTGTTGGGAGGTCCCTCCTGGCATCGCTTCCAGTTTGCTCACACGGAAATCCCAGCTGGTTTTGTTCTCCCCAGCGATGGGGATGCAATGATGGGATGAGGCTGACAGATGGTGACAGTGCTGGAGACCCTCTGGGGTCCCATCCGCTGTGTTGGGCTGGGGGTACAGCAGTGCCAGCAATGCTCAGGGACATTTGTGCCCACTGGGGTCTTTTTACCCACCAGGCTGCTGCCAGCCATGGGCACAGCATCACAGTGTGACCCCCCACTGTCCTTCCTGGACCCGATGGCTGCACAGTGTGGCACTGTGGCCAAAGCATCCTGCAGGGGCTGAGGACAGGGAGGTGATATCCCTTCTCATTTCAGTTTGCAGAAGGGATCACGGTCCCCTGGGCCATGCTTTGCCCTGTGCTATGGGATGGGTTTTGCAGCTCGTTGGATCCAGATGGCAGCAAAACGAAAGCAGAGCAGCCCTTCTTGGTTCTCAGGATGGAGAAAACCTTCTCCTCTATGAGGCAGGGACCCAACCCTTCCCCTACACCAAACCTCAGAGCCTGAAGGTTGGACCCATCCCTCTGGCACCAAGGGGAGCAGAGCTTTGTGTGGCTCTGAAGGGCAAACACAAACCCACCACTTTGCACGAGCCTCCTTCCTCGGGGCAAACCGACCTTTACCACCCAACAGGATGGATGGTTTCATGCCATCCCCCCTCTTCACCTCACAGGATGTGCTGCAGCCCTCGCATTTATTGGCCACGCTTTAGAAATGGGGCAGCATCCTCTGAGCTCAGCACGTGCCCTGGGGCTGCAGAGGAGCCCTGGTGCAGCAAGGAGCGTTCCACAAAGCACAGCCCCACGGGGTGTCAGCCTCCAGCACCTTCTGATCCCCATCTCTGGGTCTCAGCACCTTCGCAGCCAACGTGAGGAGGGTCTGGGGGGGATCCCACCCTCCTGCCTGAGCAGGGCTCGAAGACGTTCAAAGCAACGTTGAGGAAAACAACAGATTTTTTGCATTTGAGCAATCTGCTGTCAAGATGTGGGGAGGACGGAAGCGGCGTTTCAAAGGCTCTGAGCACCCCAGCCTTGCTGGAGCTGCAGGATCCGACCCTCAGAGAGGTGCTCTGGGAGGAGGAGGAGGAGGAGGATGCTCAGTGCCTTCTGCCCACAGCGATGCCACCCATCGTGCTCTGAGCCCATCCAACCTGCTTGGGTTTCCTCCATACGGGCTCTGAGGTCGTCCTTAGGGCTGTCCATGCTCCTGGCACACGATGCTCTGCAGATACGTGGTGCTGCATCGTGCTGTGCCAATTGCTTCCAATGCCTGCTTTGCTGCAAGCTTTCTCCCCAACCTCACATCAAGACCAGCGAGCAGGGAGCCAACTCAGCACGCATTTGCTCTGGCTGTTGCTTGTAAGAATAAAAAGAAAATAATAATAATAATTAAAATAAAAAAATGCCCCAAATGTCATTTTCATAACATACGCCCTCGCACACAACATCCCCAACAGAGCAAGGGGAGCTGGATGCCATCGTGAGCTGTGATGGGGCGGTGGGTGGCTCTGGGCACAGAGGGGCAGTGCTGGTGGGGGGACAGGGCAGGATGAGGCCATCGTAGGGGTGGGATGTTGGGTTATGGAGGGCTGGGGTGGGATCAGGTGGGGCAGTGGTTGTGGTGGGGTGGGGTGGGTGGGGATTGGGATGGGGTGGATGGAGTGGATGGGGATGGGGGGGATAGGGTTGGATG